AGTGTCTCACAGGGATTTTCAAAGAGTCATACCTTTGCTTTGCCATCTTGCCTGGTTGCCTTGTTTTCTCAGTCCTGATTTCTATGATCAGTGGTCTTTTTCTTATTCTGACCTTCTACTTATCTACTTCTCTTCTTTTGTCCATCTGTCTGTACCATTGACTAGTGTCTTCATCTCACTTCATCCTACCTTTCTTGTGGTTCCACCATTTGATTTCATTCCATCGTCCGTCTTTCTATCATTCACTGTGATTTTCTCACCTCTATAACTCTGCCTCACCATGAAATCACTACAGTCTGACCATCGCATTAAGTTACATGATGCAATCTGAAATTGCAATGCTTTGGGTGAAAATCAAATTACCTTCCGCCAAACTACGGCACTGCTCTCCATGTATATACCCTTTACACTTTAACTAACATTTATAGCCAAAACAAATGTTAATATATTATCAGAACTGACTGATTTCAATAAAGCTTTCATCTCTATTTAGCATGAAAGACTCTGCATTGTAATAGAGATGGCAAAATATATTATCTAAATAAATCAGTGTATATGGAAAGTAGGGATACTGTTAAAATTGGAGATGAATGAACTGAATTCTTCACACAGAGAAGATGTGTTCATTAGGGTTTCAATTTAGACCCAATTTTAATATGTATATAACTGAATTTCCTGTTCAGTTGGACCAATGTGTTGTTTCTGGCTTTTTCCTCCTAGAGGTGAGGCGCCTGCTTCATAACTTTGTTCCACTGTCTCCTGCTAAGCATGAAGTACAGCAACTACTGGACACAGTGGAGAAATACAAGAACTGGGCTCTGGCAATAAACAGGGTGTCAGGACAAAAAATACCATTTATCCATTCCCTTCTGCTTAACTGGGTTAGGTCTCGGTGGCAGAAGGCTAAGCAGGGCACTCCAGATGTTTATGTCCACACAGTATTCCCTCGTCAGATGTGCTCTATAACCTCTCCGGTGAGTTCTGGGTTTACCCCAGGTCTCTTCCTAGAAAATCTCCAAAGTTGGCAGCATGCTCCTTTTACACAAAGTAGCATTGACTCTTCTCTCAGCTTCCTCCAGATGTCTCAGCTCCTCACCTTCTCTAAAGCCGAGCTCAGTCACCAGAGCTCACGACCATACATGATGGTTGGAACATAAATTAACTGGTAAATTGAGTGATTTACCCTTCGGCTCAGCTTCCTCTACAACACCCACATTAGTGCTGATGAAGCACCTATTCATCTGTCCATCTCACGCTCTATTTTTCTGTCACTCACAAACAAGATCCCAAGATACCTAGGCTTCTTAAACTCACCTCGGGCAGCAAACTCCTCTACAACCTGGAGGGGGGAATCGATTGCTTTCCGGCAAGGAACTGTGCCGTTAGAATGGGAGGTGCCTACTTTCGTCCCAGCCACTTCACACTGAGCTGCAAACCACCCCAGTGTGTGCTGAAGGTCTCAGAGTAGGCCAACACAACAACATCATCTACAAAAAGCACAGGTACAACTCTGAACAGGACGCTGTCCTTAACCCTATCCATGAATGCAACAAACAGCAGACAAGGGGCAACTATTGCAGAGTCCAAAACCCACTGGAAACACATTTAAGTTGGTGCCTAGAATGTAAACACAGCTTTCATTTAGGTTATTCACAGACCAGTTGGCCCTAAACAATGGCCTGGTACCCCTTACTCCCATAGTAGAACACACAAGAGGGTACAAATAAAAGTATACCTACCTAGGTTTAACTAAACGGCATCGAGGAGTTTCTGCTTGGCAATGAACATACTAAAATGAGCTTACCTGTTAGAAAAAAACACTGAACAGAATCTTTACATGCACAATTCTGCTGACACATTTTATATCTACAAAGAAAAACACCAACGAATGCAAGCATAGCAGAAGTAGGCAGATAAGCACTGACAATTAACATTGAAAACAGAGTACTCAGAGTTTTAATCACCTTAAATCCAACCCTCTAAACACCTTCATTTCCAAAAACCTCCAAATCTAAGAGCTGACTCCGGAAAAGAGTCAGTTATTGCTGCAACAACCCCCACTCAAACACACTCTGGCAGATCTCACAGCACTGCTTTCCAAACTCCAATTAGAGTAAACTACTTAAGAAGACAAAGTAATTAAACCTATTTGGAACATTGGAAAGAAGAAGCAAAAAGCCAAACTAGATTAGGATGTTATCTGGCCTTAAAAAGAAATTATGAATTGGCGGAACATCTCTCTAGATCCCAACCAAGGTCACACTCAGTGACCACACATTGGTAACAGAAAATGGAACACAGTTTCAAGCACTTTACAAGCAACTGAAAAAATCCCGCCCATGACATTAAAAATAGATTTAGAGACTAAAGCACATCACAAGTAGCACAATCAAATGACCAAAACATTAGATGGGTAGTTAAAATTAATTCTAACACCAAAAATGGAATAAAGATTTTAAATATTACACAAAACAAACTGATTTTAGTGAAACAGTAAAATGTTAATAAAATGGAGTTAAAACATAAAATAAATACTGATACTAAAACTATAAAATTACAAGACATTCCATGCAAGCCATGGTAAAAAGATAGACTTTCACATATTGTTTTAAAAAAAAAAAAAAAATCAGTCTATTATACCATTGTGTACTTTCCAAATATCTAGTGATGCTTTGGGAGCTAAAAATAACTTTCAAAAATTCATGCCAGTACTACTTTTTTGCATTGAGATAATTTGATGTTAATTGATTTAAATAAATTTGAACTAATTGAACTAACTTTCAGCCCCTATAAATTTAATAGGCATTAACTGACTTTAATTAAATTTAACTGAACTAAAATTTCTGCTCACATACATTGAATTGAACTTGACTTGAACTGCTGGTTATGAAAAACGGCAAAATTTTCACTTTTTTTTTTTTTTTCATTTTTGACACATCAGAACTTTAGCAGACACACACTAGATGTAAATACTGAATAATGATGTTTGAATGAATCTGCTGCAGTTTTAGTCTGCCATCACACTGCATATTAAATCTTTCAGTACATTTTAACAGCAATATACGTCCTAATCATCATAAAATTAACATGTATTTTGAAATACAGGCTGACAAATTCAATGTTGATTTGCAAGACCTTTGCACTGTTTGACTATAAAATTCTGAATTGCTACTCAAAGGAAGGCCACACTCATTGTAGCAATAAATGAGCATGCAGTTGTATTTAGAGATGGGATTTGGTTCTTGGAAACGCTGCCTAAATGAATCCTGGCAGCTGAATAGAGTGTGCAGGAGTACAGTGAAGCCAGCTAAGAGGTATAGTCCAGCACCTGGCAGGTACACTATCACAAAGGTGTCAGTGGTGCATGTACTACAAGGCATGTATGTTTTATTAGAACTAAGAACAGAGGGTTGCCAAGATAGTGGAGAGACATATTGAATAGAACATTTGATGAATGAAACATATAATGTACTCTGAGAGCCTTGTAATAAAAGGTAAAATGTCCTCAGCGATTGTAAGAGCACTTCCAGGCAAGGTCCACTGATTCCACACGAGGGGATGCATGATTAGTGACAGGTGAGTAATTCATTCTTGCAAAAACAGTTGGTAGTTTAGTTAGTGGATGTTACAGAATATCAATCTGCTGGGTTTCCTGTCCCTCAACAACAGCTGTCTGTCTCGTCAACATGTATTCAGTATGCATCACACCTTATTTCTAAATTGACTTTTCCAAGACTGCCTATTTCCATTTAAATGAGCTGTGTGCATTTTTGAATGAACTTTTCCCCAAATGCTTTGCCATTTCATTTTTCATTTACCATGACAGTTGTTTGTACACACATTCAAATTGTGGTTCTGAAAACTGGTTTCTGATCCTTTGAAAAAAATCTTTGGCATGTGCTTGTGCTTGACGTCGCTGAGTAAGGAGAGAGAGTATAAGTGCGGTGAAGTGCTGACCCCTTGTGGTATGACTCGCAAACAGCACAAAGAGATTTTGAGATGTTTGTCCACAGTCTGGTACATTTTCTGAAGAAATGTTTTTTCTCTGTCAGCATTCACCTGCTTCATTGATGATTGTGTAAAGGAAATATTTATGTTCAAAATGCTAATGTAGAAGGTAGTCTGCTTGGTTCAGCACTGGAGGGTGGATGGCCTTCTTGTAGCTGTGTGGCCTCTTGCCTCACACATCCAGCATCTCTCCTTACCGACTTCCCTCTGCAAGTAACATGAATGCAAATCAATTACAATGATGCAGTATCTGTTCTGTGTGCCGGCCTGCAACACGTTCCCCAGGGGATTAAATCAATGAGGCAAAATGGAGCTTTCAGCATTCTTACAGTGTGGAACTCAATGGGCCTCGACAGCTCTTAAGATTAATGAAAACTTCTGCTGAACAAGCCAGTTGAGTATGGAAACGCATGTGGCCGTGTACACCGTGGCTGCTCAACACGGCTGTGATCACAGCCTGTTATGCAGAGTTGGTGTGTAGCTTGAATTCCGTCGAGCAGCCACAGCATTAGAACTGCTGACAGGTGGAGTGAAAACACTGATAGTCTCGTTACAATACTGTCTTCTGCTGTGATACCTTAGGTCTTGGATTTTGAGTGGATGTTGACACATACTACCCACCTTAGCAATGTTGCAGACCAAGCACACCCTTCAGTGGCAATGACACTTCCTCTCCAGTTGAATGTCTCCCTCCACACTGCAAAACCAGATCATGGAACACATAGAACTTCTGAATCATCCACCAAAACACAACACAATCTAGTCGAGCATCTCCAGGATGACCAATCCACAGAGACCACAGGATCCTGCACCAACATCCCCACAGGACTCCCTAACAGGTCCTACATCCATGTCCCGATGGGTCAGAGGTGTTTTGGCAGCACGACGTGGATCTACACAACATTAGACCGGTGTTCTGAATGCTGTGGCTGATTGGTGTACCTACCATCCAACAAAAGATAAAGCATTCAAACATGTAAAGTTACAATACGTTTTTTTTTTCTTCTTTTTTTTTTATTGAAATATAATTGACCCCTGAGGCTAGATAAAAAGGCCACAGTTTCTTTGTGCCTTGTCTAGCTCTTCAGTCTGACACAGCCAGTTAGAACACAACAGACCTGCCAAAAAACACACATTACACAACTGGTGTGAAAATTCCAAATACCTTTTTTTCTTTCTTTCTTTCTTTTGTAATCCAAAATTAAATGGCCCGTCACATATTGACAAAGTTTCAAATTAATTATCTAAGTGCAATTTAAAAAAAAGGAAAAAAAAAAAAAAAAGCTACCTCTCCAAATAAAAGTGCTCAATTTGGCTCACATATGATCCAGGGTCAAAAATACATACATTCACTTTCAGCATTTGTATTCGCTCTGCCAGAGGTGTATTTGTATCAGCTGTGATGATTAAACCAAGGAGGTTAGCGATCTGTCTTGAAATTGTATTTTGGACCTTAAACCAAAGTCAGAAAGGAGACACATCTTGTTCGTGCTTTCAAGTTACAACAGAAAACTGATACCACTCTCCCATCTGTATAGTAAATATGAAGCCAAAACCAGCACCCAGTTATGGGGGAAAATGGGCCGGCTGGCTCCGACCATTTCTTCTTGTTTTGACCTTTGTGTGATTGTGTTCTCACATGTGAAGCCATCCACACAAGCCCCAGTAAAGCAGAGGTCCTTTTATAGCTCTGTTTCTTCATCTTGGTCCACAACAAATTGGGACTACAAGGCGAAAGGCCATTGACCCATTGAGAGCCCCCAAAATAAAAGAGAAAATAAAAAATAAAATTTAAAAATGGGGAATTTAGGTTTTGTTTTTTTGTCCAGGCCTGGGACACACTGAGGTAACATAGACAGTAATAAATTATTCAGTTGTTTAAAAAAAACTTTTCAAGAGTCATATCAATAATACAAAATGGTATCAAACATACATGATGCAACGTTTTCATCAAACACATTCAATTTTTTTTTCCTTCTTTTGAACTCCCACAATCCAGAGTCTGACGTCTCACCACTCCATTGGTTCTTTAAAGTTTTGAGTCCTTCCACCGAAAACTCCTTGTGAAGTCCCTTCAACAGTAGACGTAGATTAACACTGTAGTCCTTCTATTGCCAAGGTTGATTTTCCTCTTCCATGCTGAGGTGAATTTGTATGCGATTCAATAAATTATTTTTTTATATGCAACCTTTTTAATTCAAAACTGAGTAATTTCAATACCTTTTGAATGATTAAATCTGTTACAATCATCGCCAAGGCAACAGGCATACACAGGCACACGGGGTTGCAACATTAATCAGCCATTTGCTCACGATGTTCAATTTTTTACATTCAGATCGTTTTTACCATGCCTTTCATTTCACTTACAGATTTTAAAAAAACAACATGCCAATAGGAAAGTCTGAAATTGTATTAAAAGTGCAAAAATGTATTCCTTCAAGAGTCGGTATTCACCCAGACAAGAAAGTTGTCCGCCGAAACTTTTAGTGCGTTAACAGTACAAGCCATTTCGTAGGTTATTAAATTGTATACTCCCATCCACTTCACGACTATAAATATGGATTCACTGAAAGTGTTGTTGCTTCGAGTGTGTGGTTTTCCTACAACTACAACGTGGTCAACATGGCTTTAAGCCCAAGGAGCATCACACTGTCCAGCCCAGACAGGCCGACGTATTGTCAGGGCTACAGTATTTACTGTCTATCCTTCAGTGAGCGTGACTCATCCTATAACGTAGTCCTGAACTCAGTGGTGCAGTCTGAAAAGTCCCTAGACTGAAATAAAGTGACATCACATTATTTTGGTTAGTGACCAGTGCAAATCAGCTTCTCCAGCGTGTCCCCCCTCCTCCCTTAATCCCTTATCTACCCTCCTTTGTAAAACAGCATTGAATTTGTCTACATTGCCACCAATATTTAGATTTTTTTAATATCACAAATATATTTATATTTTTCCATACTTGTAGATACAAAAAAAAAGAAAGTAACTTTCTTAAGAAGTTTGTTATTTTGTTAAGAAGGGAACTATTGTTCATACAGTACTGACAAAGGATTGCACTCGTTACACCACTTACAATGACTGAAGAGGCAACCGAACCAACAAATTTCAACACTTAAAAAGACAAAAAGTGGCTCCTGTGTACTGTCTGCGTATGTGAAAATAATCCTTTGTAAGAGTGTCTGTAAACATGGCCCTTAACAGATCAGCGGTAGGATAAACCCTCTCACATTTACATCACAATGGAATCACACAAACGGACTAATCTTATTCTGCTTTACAGTCACAATATCGAAACACTTTTTCAACAAGCTCTAATGGCCTTAAGGTTCACCTGTCAACTGATAGGACACATTTTCTCACCACGTATCATTTCTTTCACGCTGCCTTCCTCAACCGACACTTCAAAACCAGAGCATCATGCGACCACGAGCTACAGTCACAGAACTCGCGGTCCATCACACGACGTCTACTGTCACCACTCTCACATTCAACCACTGCACTCTCACCACGTCCTCTCTACGGAGAGAAAGAAGCCTATCTAGGGTTCGCACAGGTGCTTTTCTTCCACAAATTGTAGGGAGTGTAAGGATAGAAAGGCGATGAATTACAGGTTGGTGGAGTCCATAAAACATGAATCGCCATTGTAAGCCAGTTACTCCCTTGCCGTTCTTTTTCCTCAAGAAGACAAGCTCCATCATCAAGGTCTCTGTCTTTTTTCCACCACCGAGTTTGTCGTCTTGTGCCACGTTTGAGATGAAATTCAAAAATTATACTTGATTGAGAAACAGTTAGGTGACTACGTAGCTCGGGGTTGAATACAGACGAGACGAGGGGGTCAGAAAACATCAGAAAGGGGCCATAAAGTGAGGAGAGACGGCACTGCGCTCATTCCAAGGCTTTGTGAATGGCTGACGGGTCATCAGTCCAACTTTTCAGATTCGTTCCACCCTTCGTCCCTCTGAGTTTCACTCATTGACCACCCTCCCATCCCCCTCCCTGTCCTTTCTGTGCTCCAGTAGTTAACCACTGCTGGGGAGTTCCCTGACATCCAAAGGTATACTGATGTGCGTGTGGGTGTGAGTATGTTGTGAATGATAAACAGGACAAGAGAGGTCACAATATGGCGCAGTGGAACCTGTGGGAGGCCGGGGAACGCTCTGCTCTCCATTTCATCTTCTTTTTCTTCTTCTGGTTTCGCTCTGGGACCTGTTGTCTGTGAGTGGAGGAAAAGAAAAAAAAAAAAGCAGAAAGAGTCTCAGGAAATAATCTTAACTCGAGACCTACTTAACAAGTCTTTACATAATTATCTAACAGAATAACACAGCTGCCATTTTTGAAGTCAAGAATAACAGAAAGTTTACACAGTTTTTTGACCAAGACGCCTCTCTCATGTCTGTCTAGTAAACGGGAAGTTACAACCAGCACAGAGACTGGAAACATAAGGAAACAATTTGCCTGAATCTGTAAGAAAATCCATCAAACAAGCAAGGAAATGAATTGTTTCTTTGTGTCTCTCGTTCTGCCATGTTTTTCAGGTCCCATGCATTTTTCCTTTCATTGTGAACATCAGTTTTTGTTTTTTTGTTTTTAGTTTCCCCCACTTGTTTTTAATTGCTATTTTCCTGGTTGTGCTATGCTGTTGAGTCTTTGTCTGGTTTTATATGTTGTCCACATTTACAGGGTCATGTTTTAGAACTATGTTTTTCCTTTCTGCTTTGCTGTCAAAAAACCTCACAGTCCACATGAAAATGTCAAAACACAGCAATATAACCCTAAGGTAAATCTGAAGCCTGGAACAAGCCATCATAATGGCATTAACAATGCTGTACTGAGAAAGGAGAGAATAATACGCGTAGACTGATTCTGATGCCTCTGTTCCACAATATAGTAAAGAGTAACTTTACATTTATGTGTAAACATGTAAAGAGTCCTGGTAGGAAGGTAAGCAGCAGCACTATTTTGGCCTATTCACGATTGTGCAAAATCACCTCACGTGAACAAAGAAAATAACAGTACACACTCTGACTCATTAGTCAAAACTTCACTTTTCGTGTCAACAGAATTTCTAAATATCTTTACTCAGGAAGGAGGTTTCCAAAAAGGTCTGTTTTGAGTAACCAAAACAGTGTTTGTACATGGAAAAAAGACTAAACCAAAAAGCACCCATGTATTTTTACATTTTCTAACGGGTGCTGCAGGAGACGGCTGCCTCACCAGTTGTTCCGCAACACCAAGCGTTTTTTTTTACTTGTTTTTATTTATTTTTTTCTTTTTTCTTAGATATTTTCTACTTTTCTTTTTGTCTTTATGTATTCTATGGATAGTTGTAACTTTAAAGCATCCGCAGGAGCCAGGATCCTCACTTTTTCTCGAGAGGAACTACTGGCTCTTAAGCCGATGGGACTGGCTGGAATACGACATGACATCCCGGCTGAGCTGAGAAGGCGCTACCGGGACAGCAGGGCTGGTGCTAGGCTGAAGGCTAGGCTAACAGACCGGAGGCGTTTCAAACCATCAATCCCGACGGCAATTATGGGAAACGTAAACGCCTTGCAGAACAAGATGGACGAGCTGTCGGTGCTGATCAACCAGCGTATCTACCGGGAATGCAGCTTGTTCATCCTCTCGGAATCGTGGCTAACCCAGCTAACACCGGACGCCAACGTGGACCTGCCGGGCTTCGCTACAGTGAGAGTGGACAGAGATACGAAAGCATGCGGAAAAAGCAGAGGTGGGGGTCTCATCATGTACGTTAACAACCGCTGGTGTAACCCAAGTCACGTTTCTGTCAAGGTGGTTCGGTCTTGTCGGGATTTAGAACTGTTAGCCGTTAGCCTGCGGCCACATTACTTGCCACGAGAGATCAGTCACGTGATCGTGATGTGCGTTTACATCCCCCGAGTGCCGATGCAGCCGCTGCCTGTGAGAACATTCACACAGTCACAGCAAGGCTGCAGACCCAACATCCAGAGGCACTCATCATCATCTCTGGGGACTTTAATCACGTCACACTGAACTCTGCCTTGCCTGCTTTCCACCAGTTTGTGAACTGCCCCACCAGAAAAAACCGGACAATCGACCTCCTGTATGCTAATATACGGGACGCATACAGAGTCCATGCTCTATCACCAGATTGTGTGGAATATTTAGGCACTTTGGCAATTTTGTTACTGTGTCCATTATTAGGGTCCGAGGACCCCTACTTGCAAAGCAAGCAGGGGGCAAGGACCCTATTGTTCCTGCTTCGTTTCTTTCTTTCTTTCTTCTTATTATCTTATTATTATTTCCCTGACCAACGCGAAACCCTTAATTTGACCCCCTAAACACGCTCAAAAACTCACCAAAATTGGCACGCACATCCGAATCGGCGAAAAATTTGATAAAATGAAAAAAAAAAAGAAGGAAAATGCTCTCTAGCGCCACCCAGTTACAGAAAAACACACTAAAATGGCCCTAGCGCCCAGTAGGAATGTCGTACAGAGATCAAACCAACATCAAAATGTTCGTCTCAATGAGACGCACAAATCTCGTGCTGACACCCCTGACCAATCTCAAACAGGAAGTCCACAATTTGCCTTTCAAAGTAAAAAAATGAGCGAAAACTTTTTTTGGGAAAAAATTATCTTGTCTGACAGTGTAAATCGCACCAACTTGAAAATCGCACAGGAGACAGAGAAGGCCTTGATGTACAAAAGTTCTGAAGGGATTTGGTGTTTCTCAACCGGTTTTCGAATGGCGAGCCGTTAAAGTTGATGCCCTGCCGCAGCCTCGGCTCATACTTTGTATGGGTGTCTATGGAGGCATGTACAGACATGCTGTGTCAGTTGGTCATCTACACAAAAAACTAAAGGTCCTACAGCTTTAAAAATGACACTGAGGGCTTCCTAACAAGATTTCCTACAAAAATATGTTGTTTTTACACACATTTGGTGAAAATTGTGGCTGTATGGGAGAGAGAAAGTGAGAGAAAGCGAGTAAAACTCTCAGCGCTCAAATGAAGAACGATGACATCATCACGTGCAGCTTTCATGCTGATTGGCAGCTCAGTGCAGCTGGTCATGTGACTCACTGACAGTCTGAGGCTGAACAGAGAGAGAAAAATGGCTCCTTCACCTTAAAGCAGGTTTCACTTGAAGAACGGTCAGACGGGCATGAGGGTCCAACGCAGACCGAGGACCCGATCAACGCTGCTTGCAGCTTTAATTATTATTATTACTATTATTATTATTTTAATTACTACTATTATTACTAATATTGTGTTGGTGTTGTGTTGTTGTTCATGGTACAACAATTTCCCTGAGGTTTCCACCAAAGGGATCAATAAAGTTCTATTCTATTCTATTCTATTCTATTCTATATGTGTGGAAAGGGCCAAACAATGTTTCCCTGCTTTTGGATTTCTATCGAAAAGAAAAGCTCTAAATCTCAATGAGACTACCCAAAAAAAAAAGTTTCTCTTCTAAGCTTCAAAGCAATCAATACAATGAGTGAACTGTTACAGATTTTATATTTAACATTTTATAGGTAAGTGCTCAGGGCAGCCAAAGGCAACTTCTAGAAGTACAGAGAGGATAGACAGTCAGACTGACGGTCAAAACTGCTGATGTGCCAGTCAGGAAAAAGCATCATCATCATTTTTCTATTCCACCCCTTTAACTCCTGAATTTCTACTGTCTGACCACAAGAGGGCAATGTTGATTTATCACTCTGCTCTTCTCAGTTCTGGTACATTATGAAAGAGGAGTTTCCTCATGAGTCAGTTACAGACCTGGCGTGTGCACAATGAGAGCTTTCCACTACTCTGCTCCTCTCTTCACACATTAACAGAAGAACACACCAGCCTTTGACTGCTGTGTATTTGGCCATATAAGCACAAGTACTACACATCCTATTGGTCTCCGCAACAAGACTTCAAAACAGGATATGACCACATAGAAAACATGTACATAAAGCAAATTCTTCTGATATTACAAGTGTCAAGACAAGAAATAGCACTGGGATTTTTCTTTCCTTTCCACTCTTCCTGAAAGCACTTTCACTGCCCTAACATTTCAGGACTACACTCTGTCAGTGCCACTAACCTCTGAATAAGTGACTCTGAAAACATATGTGAAAGGGAACTTAACTTTGACTTTACACAATTTTATTTGACACAACAACTGTATTTTAGTTTACAAACAATTATCTTAAACAGCAGTTTAACACCTATTACAGAAACTGATTTTGTCTCACAATATATCTCATTCAAAGATCTTTCACCCAAAGGTCCTTAAAGCATGAAAATGAGTGAAAAACACAAGTTAACTTAGGTACCTTATAACGCGCACCAGCTCGTGAAAGGCTTTGTCCACATTCATTGGGGGATCCTTGGCACTGGTTTCAATATAAGTTATCTGAAGAAGAATGATGGAATAGAGACATGTATTACAATGAGCATTTAACCCAAAAACAAACAAACAAAAAAAACACAGATGCCATACAGTTAAGCAACAATAAGAGTCATAAAGTTTCAGTCTAATGAAGGATCAGTCAATGATCAATTACAGTGGCTGATGCTAGTAATTGTGTTGTACTTTTTCACTCGGCAGCATGTGAACACTCAGAAGTGATTAATTAACAGCCATGTGTGCCATAAAGTCACATCCCTCGAGCCAGAGGACACTGTATGTGTGTCTGTGCGTAACAGAGTGAACTGTTCTTTTCCTCAAATCCCTCAGGACCAAACTCCCCAAGGAGAGAGCAAGCTCAGCGACTCTGAGCCTTCTCTGCCTGAATGATAAGGTTACATGACTGTCACATTACACTGTATGAAATGCAATTTAAATATGCGTTTATGGAAGAAAACATAGCATGGTAATAAATGTGTAGTCTAGTCTGTCAAAAAACTGGAGAAGTCTACATTTGTGTGATTTTAAAAGTTTAAAGCTTCTTTCCAATAATCTGACTGCATCTGAACATGTCGGCTTAACGTCTGAATGAGCACCCTGGCGCTCTTTTGTGAAAGTGGTCACAGTAATCTTACTAGGTCAGACCTAGTGACATTTCTTTATCACTTTCAACAAAGCACATCATACATGTATACATTCAACGATCACAGTAAAAACTCTGCTACTGCAAATATCCTGCAGCGAGAACATCTCCGTAACAAAAACATCATGGTATGGTCAAAATAAATAAGTAACTTCAACATCGGAAAATAGATTAGAACAGGGGTCGACAACCCGCGGAAGCCGCATGCAGTTCTTTCATACCTCTGCTGCGGCTCCTTGTGGCTTTGGAAAATAAATGAGTATTTCATTTTTATTTATTTATTTTAGTTTGTAATTTTTTTTAAATGCAGTTCCGAATTTGAAGATTATGGTGATCTTGTAACATTAAAATATAATGTGTTTAACTTTTGTTGTTGCTCAAAATATGTCACACTCGCCGATGTGCAACACCTGCCAGCATGCACAGTGTTGCCATCTTGGTGATTTTCTCGCTAAATCTGGCAACTTTCCAAATCGTCTTGGCGACTATTTTTTTTTTTTGGTCAAAAGTGACTAGCGACAAATCTAGCGACTCTTTCTGGTGTTAATGGAGATTTTTCTGGTGTTTTGTAGACTCTGATGTGAAAACACACATCATTCTGCAGTTACTATCATCAGCAAGTAGCGGGTGCTGCCGTGAGCTCCTCCCGTCCCAAAGCGCTCACAGGCGGTCAGGAGTCTGGTCAGGAGTTCCAGCTGCAGTCAGCAGGACAACCAGACAGCGTTTTTACTTTGCTGCAGGTGGATAATTTAAGTTCGGCTTTCTATTTCATAAATACAAGGAGAACTCAAATAGATAGTGAGCATTTTATTTGAAAGTAACCTTCAACCCAGCGTCTTTTTTTTCTGAGTTCAAAATGTTTTTGTTGCATGCAGAAATAAAATTTTGTTTTCTCTGTAGTAGTTCATTAATTTTATAAATGCAACACACTACAGTTTTTTTTTATACATAGCATTAACATAAAAATGATGTATGCAGTGTTATCTTCATTTTAGATGTCAAAAGGACCGCTGGATTAGACTATCCATCCATCCATCTTCTATACACCGCTTGATCCTCACTAGGGTCGAGGGGGGCTGCAGCCTATCCCAGCTGACTCAGGGTAAAGGCAGGGGACACACTGGACAGGTTGCCAGTCTATCACAGGGCTACACTTAGAGACAGACAACCAAGCACACTCACATTCACAACTACGGAGAATTTAGAATCACTAATTAACCTCAACATGTTTTTGGACGATGTGGAAGGAAGCTGGAGAACTCTGAGAGAACCCATGCTGCATGGGGAGAATATCCAAACTCCATGCACCAGGACGCGAGTCAGCGACCTTCTTGCTGCGAGGCAACAGTGCTAACCACTGAGCGACCTTGCAGCCGTAGATTAGACTAGACTACAGTAAATTGACAGTTGTGAAGGAGTTGAGGACTCAGTCTGAGGACCAAAGATTTCTAAGCATTTAACTGTATCAAGTAAATAGATCCACTAAACTGTGACTGTGTACAGTGAAGAAAGTACAGTGTTATTTGCAGTTACAAATTATGTCATAACCCTTATTTCGCCAGTCTGATATGTGTTTTGTGGATCAGGATAAACACAGCTTTGAGGCTTTATTTGATGATGTGCTCACAGAAACCAAACTTCTAACATTTAGCTCAGTTTGAGCTTCACTGTGACTTTGGATTGAACTACTTCAGATACAAGGACACAACTCTGTGTGGAATGGTCTTTAATGTTGCTGCATTTACAGTGTGTGTAGTGTCTATAGTGCACATGAAAAAAACTCTTAGAAACTTGTTTAAACATATGCACAATTTTTTTTTTTTTTTAAAATGAGGATGCTGCACACAGTTGACAATAAGCCAGGGACAAGTGCTTAAGGAAAGGTTCAAAACTTACATTATGTTTTGCAGCCATCTCCTGGCCCTGATCAGTTGTGACCTTTCTCAGATGGACTAAGTCCACTTTGTTAGCAACCAGCACCATGGGGAAGGCTTCCCTGAGAGGGAAAGGACACATAGACACAATTATGAATGCATTTGTTTATAAGTAAATATTTGACTATATCCAAAACACTTGCATTGGTTTAAAAGAGTGTTTTATAGTCTTATAAGGTTTATTGGCTGTTATAAAAGTCTAACAGGTATGGGTCAGGTGAAGATATAATCTTAAAACAGGCAATATATGGCAAAAAGACACACATTACAGCAGAGCGTTGTGCCTCAGTTGTTCACACACACTAGATAAGTTTAATTTAGAAAGAGCACCCTGAACAGAAATTGTTTGTGAGCCGTCAGATTTCTGCAACACTTAAATCTTGGGGGGAAATGGGCAACAGTTGAACACCACCAAATATGGACAGACAGCAAGTTGCTTAGTTCTGGTTTCTATTTTTTGCTTCATCTAAGACTTTCAGTCTTATTGTTTGTTGTCAGTCACTGTCAGTGAACAGATGCTTCTCTTCTCTTGCATTCACAACACAACAGATTTCAGTTTTGGATGTTCTGTCAACCTTCTGCAGCTTTAGGAGAAAAAGAAAGAAGGAGAAGCTGATCGTTAACAGTTCTTATCCCAATGGTAGCTCTTCCTGCTGACTGAACCAGGCCTGCCGAGTCAGCAAGAGGAACAGAGGAGGACAAAGTTTGGTCTTAAATGGAGATGAGGGCTCTGTGGTGACAAGGCAGCACTGACTGGACAGATGCTTTTGCTCAGCTGACAGTTTTCCCCAAATCTGAACTAATACAGAAAATTTAACAGAATATAATCTCAACACGCAAGCAAGCCATAGACCAATCTGCACTTTCACCATTATGTAAATGTCTACTGCAGCTGACAGAGCTACTTCCTCTTTTGGTAACCTTAACTTGCTATATTTACCGTAGCTGTGCACACAGATTGTCAGTGCAGTGGCTGATTGTACTAGACGCTTTGTCTTAACTTCCAAATAATCTACCACTGCGACAAACAGGTCTGTGTGACTATAAAACTGTTCATACAACATGTCCAAACGAAGGGAAAAATTGATTCTGCCCCTTTAAGAGTGCTTTAATGATCTTTTACTCATTGCAGATGCTGGTAATTCTGCTGTCCTTGTCCTTTGATCTTCTTCCTGAGCAGTGCATTAGTATCTGTGCCACTGCTATAAATTGGTTAAAGTCTTATTTGACTGATAGATCGTTTTCCCATCAGCAATGGCAATTACCCTTCTCCGTCACCCCTGACTTGTGGTGTACCTCAAGGGTTCATATTAGATCCTATATTGTTTTCAATGCATATACACCAAGTAGAGTCCATATGTGTGTGTATATAAAGGATAGCAGTGCCAATGTGGATGATACTCAGATATACCTACTGCTGAAATTCCCACTGACTCTTTTGTTAATTCATTAACCACTAGTTTAGCTGATGATTAAATGTGACTCTCTCAAAATTTCCCAACCTCAATGAAAGTGAAACAGAAATTTTAGTCCTAAACTGTGTCACCCAGCAGCATCATACTTTCGTTATAAGGAAGTATAATGGAAACCTCCTGCACAGAACCTTGGCGTTATTTTTGATTCTTCTTTTAAACTAAACTTGTAGATTACATCAGTTGTCAAAGCCAGCTTCACTCAACTAAGAGTTGTAACTAAAGTCAAATTTTTCCTTTCCTTTAAAAACCTTGAGAATGCCCTCATGGCGTCGAGGCTGGACAATTGCAATTCAGTGAGTGTGGAATTGGCTATGCACTAATATTGTGGCTGTGGCTGGTTCAAAATGCTGCAACTAGTCTCCTCACTGGCATGTGCAAGCGGCCATACTTCACCTATGCAGGCATCCATATATTGTTTACCTTTTCAGTATAGGAATAACCATGAAATAAACACATACTCATTTATAAGAGCTTACTTTTTTAACTGGTGTTTAAAATGTTTTTTTTATTTTAATCATTAAAGTGTACTCATTCAGAGGGCTGCAAGGTGGCGCAGTTGGTAGCACTGTTGCCTCACAGCAAGGTCGCCGGTTCGCATCCCAGTGGGGGCACTGGGATCTTTCTGCATGGAGTTTGCATGTTCTCCCCGTGCAGCATGGGTTCTCTCCGGGTTCTCGGACTTCCTCCCACAATGTCTCCAAAAACATGTTGAGGTTAATTAGTGATTCTAAATTGTCCGTAGGTGTGAATGTGACTGTGCTTGGTTGTCTGTCTCTAAGTGTAGCCCTGCGATAGACTGCGACCTGTCCAGGGTGTCCCCTGCTTTTGCTATAAGTCAACTGGGATAGGCTCCAGCCCCCCGCAACCCTAGTGAGGATTAAACGGTATATAGATAATGGATGTACTCATTCCAACTACAGGACATCAAAAGTATAGTCCTATATATTTATTTTTTTATCACTGCCTCCCTGAGTCAGGAGTGGGTAATTTGGTTTCCGAGGCTCACTCTCTAGTATGACTGACTTCCCTTGTATTTCCTCCTACAATGACAATTGTTGAATGTTTAATAGGTTGTTTTATGATTTTATCGACTCATTTGTTTTTAATTAGTTTTATTGGTTTTACTTGTCTGATGTTGTGCAGCACTTTGGCCAACATATTGTTTTGTTTAACTGTGCTATAAAAATAAACTGACTTCATTCCACTGTATTTCAGATAATCATACTCAACAAATACAGCTAAAAGGACAAAAGTAAGGCAAGTGTAGTAAGGAATCATATGTTCCTTAAACCGAAAGTGGAATCTATTTAGATAAAATAACATACAGCATTTATCATCTGCAATAATGAACAAAAGGATTTCATCCATTAGGTGTTCAAAAACAACTTTCCTATTGCTCTTTACCAGAACAAATTAAGTCTGGTGTGAGTGATTTCTGAACATTTCCTCACACACACAGAAATCACTTGTTGTCTGAGGTCAAATCATGCATGACATCACACATATATAGTAAAAAGTGCCATAAGTTAGGAGAGCATCTCTATGGAAGCCCAACTACCCAGAGGGACTAATGATGTATGTGATTCAGCTACAGTATTGTACACACTCCAGGATATCCTACAAAAAAAAGACTGCAAAAAGACTGAATCATACTCGGAACTCCATTTTCTTTTGCTGTGTTCCTGTTTTCTTGGTTATTATTGATGCCTGCTGTATATTGCTTCATTGAGCTGTTGCATCCTACCTGTCTTTGACCCGTAGAATGAGTTGATGGAATCGATCAACGTGTTCAAAGCTGGCCTTGTCTGTCACTGAGAAGACAATGAGGAAGCCGTCTCCCGTCCTCATATACTGCTCCCTCATTGCACTGAACTCCTCCTGACCGGCTGTGTCCAGCACTGGGTAGATGTAGGGACAGAAAAACAATAACACACACTTTAAGATACACTTCTGAACATATTGTATAGCTTGTACATTATAATTGTGAAAACATAAATTCCTATTAAATACACAGATCAAACCATATATCCTGATGCATTATTTAGTTATTTTATGTCATTTTTATTTTATGTCTTATTTACCATCTACACAATCAATTAGGTATTTGGGAAGCATGCTAAAACCTATCAAACCTGTGACACAGTCAGATTTATTCCCAGAAATATAGGTAAGTTTTCTGACCAAAAGCATTTTTTTGTAAAAACATTTTTTGTTTGCAAATAAATAAACTGACCCAGTATGCAGGAATTATTGTGCAATAGCACTGTATGATTTTTGTCATTGTGCTGTTTCAATTTCCTGCAAGTACGCTGTCAGAACAACTTTTACAGTCCTGGCAAAGAACCTCCAAGTGAGCACCGATGAGGATTTCAGCATTGATTTCTAATTAAAAACTGAGAAATACTAAGTCTGAGTGCCTAAGATCCTCTTGTAAGCACTTAAAATGTAGTTACAGCATCAAAGTTTCACAAAAAACGAATTGGTTGATCACTTTGTTCAGATGAAAGTTGAAAGACGGATGACATTGTTTAGTGTAAAGGAATTTTTTTGAAGTCAAAATGTGGAGGCTACAAAGACAACTTCAATTCATCTAATGTTTTACACAAAATGCCTTAAATATGGAGCTTTATAAACTGTGTGCTGCCAACTGGAAGCTTCCAGGACATCTAACAGGAGCAGTTGTATACATTTAAATTAAATAAGAACTATGGAATATGTTCAGTACTTTAGGGTTACAGCGTCAACAACTCAAAGGCTAGCAGTTGTATTCTGGGATTTCAGTATAAACATTAAAGCCGCAAGCGGCGATGGACGGGTCCTCGCACCTACGCTTGTCGGCGTTCTTGCACGGCGGGACTGTGATCCGGCATGTCGAGTTTGGGGCAGATCGGAGCAAGTGTGGCCTAGTTACGAGCCACTTCCTGTTTAGTGGCGAGCCGCGGCGGCGTGCGTGTTGGCCGGGGTGGAAACGCGCTCTGGCTGAGACTCGGAGCACGCGTGTAAAATTTCAGGCCGATTGGAGCACAGACACAGCACGTCTCGTAAGAATCTGCAAAATTGTCACTGTGTTTTCTCAAAATAATGGACTTCCTGTTGGGGTTAGGGCTTGGAGTTGTTGACATTTTTGTGCGTCCTGACCTGCTACACATGCCCACCGAATCTTGTAGCTGTAGGTGAAACGGCCATCGGACAA